TATTGATAATTTACTCATAATTTACTGATTAATTCACAAAAAAAAAATTCTTGCAATTTTTTGTGAATTTACTCAGAATTTTCTGATAAATTCCTAAGAATTTGCTGAATAATTTATAGAGAATTTCACGTGTAATTTGCTGAGAAATTTCCTGAGTAATTTAGTAAGAATTTACTGAGAAATTTCCCGAGTAATTTACAGAGAATTTACCAATAATTTACTGAGTAATTTACGGAGAATTTATCGAGTAATTTACTGAAAAATTACTGAATAATTCACTCATTAATTTACCTGTAATTTACTGAGAATTTACGGAGTAATTTATTGAGAATTTACTCAGTAATTTATTTAGAATTTATTAAATAATTTACTAAGAATTTGCAGATAATTTACTGCGTTATTTTTTTGGAATTTACAGAGTAATTTTTTAATAATTTACTGAGTAATTTACTAAGTACTTGACTCAGAATTTTTTGAGAACTTATCGATAATTAACTGAGTAATTTACAAAGAATTTATTGAGAATTTACCGAGTAATTTACTGGGAATTTACTTTGTAATTTACAGATAAATTTAGTGAGTAATTCACCGAATAATTTACTATGAATTTACTTAGTAATTTATTTAGAATTTACTCAGTAAATTACTAAGAGTTTATTGAGAATTTACTGAGAATTTGTTGACTAATTTTCTAGCAACTTACCAATCATTTATGAAGCAATTAACTGAGTAATTTATTGAGAATTTACTGTGAATTTAATGAGTAATTTACTCATAATTTATTGAGAATTTTCTTAGAATTTATTGAAAATTTTCAAGGTAATTACTTTGAATTTTTTGAGTAATTCACCGATAATTAACTGAGTAATTTATAGACAATTTATTGAAAATTTAACCGATAATTAATTGAGAATTTGCAGAATAATTTGCTGGTTAATTTTTAAAAGAATTTCTGTGAATTTACTGAGTAATTTACCGAGAATTTATACAAATTTTTTTGAGAATTTACTAATAATTTACTGAGTAATGCAAAAAAAAATTTATAATGTTTTTCTATGAATTTACACAGAATTTTCTAATAATATACTGAATAATTTTCTAAGAATTTTGCATGTAATTTTTTGAGAATTTTACTGAGTAATTTAGTAAAAATTTACTGAGTAATTTACTAAGAATCTACCGTTAATTTACTGAGTAATTTATTGGGAATTTGCTGTGAATTGACTAAGAAATTTACTGATAAATTGTTAAGTTCTTCACTAGGTAATTTAGTTGGAAATTACTAAGTAATTTTTTGAGAATTTAGTGAGTAAGTTACTATCAATTTATTGATAATTTACTCATAATTTACTGATTAATACACAAAAAAAAAAAATTCTTGTAATTTTTTGTGAATTTACTCAAAATTTTCTGATAAATTACTAAGAATTTGCTGAATAATTTAAAGAGAATTTTACGTGTAATTTACTGAGAAATTTCCTGAGAAATTAAGTGAGAATTTATTGAGAAATTTCCTAAGTAATTTACAAAGAATTTACCAATAATTTACTGAGTAATTTACGGAGAATTTATCGAGTAATTTACTGAAAAATTACTGAATAATTCACTCATTAATTTACTTGTAATTTACTGCGAATTTAAGGAGTAATTTATTGAGAATTTACTCAGTAATTTATTTAGAATTCATTAAATAATTTAGTAAGAATTTGCAGATAATTGACTAAGTTATTTTCTTGGAATTTACAAAGTAATTTTCAAATAATTTACTGAGTAATTTACTAAGTAATTGATTCAGAATTTTTTGAGAACTTGACGATAATTAACTGAGTAATTGACTGGAAATTTACTTAGTAATTTACAGATAAATTTAGTGAGTAATTCACCGAATAATTTACTATGAATTTACTTAGTAATTTTTTTAGAATTTACTCAGTAAATTACTAAGAGTTTATTGAGAATTTACCGATAATTAACTAAGTAATTTGTAGGGAATTTATTGAAAATTTAACGGATAATTTATTCAGAATTTACAGAGTAATTTGCTGAGTAATTTTTAAAAAAAAATTCTGTGAATTTACTGAGTAATTTACCAAGAATTTATACAAAATTTTCTGAGAATTTACTGATAATTTACAGAGTAATGCACAAAAAAATTTCTAATGATTTTCTAATAATTTACTAAGAATTTACTGAATAATTTTCTGAGAATTTTACGTGTAATTTGTTGAGAATTTTACTGAGTAATTTAATGAGAATTTACTGAGTCATTTACTAAGAATCTACCAACAATTTACTGAGTAATTTATTGGAAATTTACTACGAATTGACTAAGACATTTACTGATAAATTGTTAAGTTCTTCACTGGGTAATTTAGTTGGAAATTACTAAGTAATTTATTGAGAATTTACTGAGTAAGTTACTAAGAATTTATTGATAAATTACTTAGACTTTATGGATTAATTTATTGGGAATTTACTAAGTAATTTACTTAGAATTTAATGAATAATTTACTGAGAATTCACAAATTAATGTTCGAATAATTTACTGAGAATTAACAAAGTAATTTCCGAAATTTTTTTTGATAATTTTATGAGTAATTTTCCATGAATTTATAAAGAATTTATTGAAAATTTTCTCTGTAATTTATTTACACTTAATTAAATAATTTACGGATAATTTACAAAGTAATTCATAGAGAATTTATTGAAAACATAACGAGTAATTTATTGAGAATTTTCTACGAATTTATGGATTAATTTGCTGAATAATTTACTAAGAAATTATTTTGAATTTACCAAGAATTTATATAAAATTTTCTGAGAATTTATTGAGTAATTTACTCATAATTTACTGATTAATTCACACAAAAAAAATTGTAATTTTTTGTGAATTTACTCAGAATTTTCTAATAAATTACTAAGAATTTTTTGTGAATTTACGCAGAATTTTTTGATAAATTACTAAGAATTTGTTGAATAATTTATAGAGAATTTTACATGTAATTTACTGAGAAATTTCCTGAGTAATTTAGTGATAATTTACCAATAATTTATTGAGTAATTTACGGAGAATTTATCGAGTAATTTACTAAAAAATTACTGAATAATTCACTCATTAATTTACTTGTTATTTACTGAGAATTTAAGGAGTAATTTATTGAGAATTTACTCAGTAATTTATTTAGAATTTATTAAACAATTTACTAAGAATTTACAAATAATTTACTGCGTTATTTTCTTGGAATTTACAGAGTAATTTTCTAATAATTTACTGACTAATTTACTAAGTAATTGACTCAGAATTTTCTGAGAACTTATCGATAGTTAACTGAGTAATTTACAGATAATTTATCGAGTAATTTACTAGGAATTTACTTAGTAATTTACAAATAAATTTAGTGAGTAATTCACCGAATAATTTACTATGAATTTACTTAGTAATTTATTTAGAATTTACTCAGTAAATTACTAAGAGTTTACTGAGAATTTACCGAGTTATTTACCACGAATTTACTACAACTTTAATGATAATTTGCTGAGTAATTTATTGAGAATTAACAAAGTAATTCACGAATTTTTTTTTTAATAATTTTATGAGTAGTTTACCAAGAATTTATACAGAATTTTCTCAGAAATTATTGAAAATTTTCTGAGTAATTTATTTAGAATTTATTAAATAATTTACTAAGAATTTCACTTCAAGTTGTATGATGTAACAACAAAGAAAAAAAAAGATGCTCACAATACAAAAATATTGAAACATCATCATACCTGAGGCTCCGAACGAATTATATATTGAGGTCCCTCTATGCAAATGGATTCCCCTCCAACATCAAGTGACCTCAAATACAAAGAAATAATTGTACTCTTGTGGAACATCCAAGTGTTTTTGCAATTATTTTTTTTCTTTTGGAGGAATCAGATTGGACATACCAGTGTGAACACATGTGAATCAAGCCAAGAAAAAAAAAAAATCCATGTCTCAATCATTATGTTTATTAAAGTATTTTAGTTGGGGATCAGTTGTGAACACAAGACTTCTTGATGAGGAATCTCCCGTGGTAGTTGAGTTTGTTTATTTTCTTTGACTTTCCTTATTTTTAAGAAGTGAAATTGACACGTTCATGTAATATAATTGGCAGGTAATGAATATATTTTTAGGACTTTTCTCTTCCCTAATTATTATTATTATTATTATTATTATTAAAAATTAAGATTTTAAAAAAATATAATAAATTTTATAAATTTGACATAATTATATCAATTTTTCTTAAATTTTTTAGTTCACAGTATACTTAAACCCTTATTCATTAATATTTTGTTAATTTTTTGGATGAAAAAAATGATATTGTTATCACTTTTATATTGAAATATATATTTTATTTTGTTTATCTTTATATTTTCAAATCATCTGTATTAATTTTGTCTCTTTAACCTCACTAAAAGAGATGTTGATGTAATTATGTCAAAACTGCAAAACTTACTATATTTTCTTCAAACTTTAGGAAGGTTAGCGTGATTTACTAAAAAAATAAGGAGTAAATTACATTTTGCCCCATTTATGTTTGGTCATTTTTCCATTTTGGCCCTTAAATTTTTTTTTTTCTCGCCTTTAATGTTTTAACTTTTTTCTAATTTACTCCTAAAGTTGACTTATGTCCAAAATTAGACAGAAAATGACACATTGACAGTTACGTGACATAAAAAATATATTATTATATTAAGATTTGGTTGGGTTTGTATTAGATGTGTGAATTATATATAACAAAATATATTTATGCTATGTGGCTGTTAATGTGTCATTTTCTATCTAATATTGGACATAAATTAACTTTTGGAGTAAATTTTTAAAAATTTGAAACATGAGGGCTAAAATGAGAAAAAAAAAAAGTCAAAGTGAGAGAAGGGCTAAACACAAGGAGGTAAAATGTAATTTATCTAAAAAAATAGTACTGTCGATTGAAAGGTATGGAAGATTCTTTATGTATTATATATAGACATGGAAGGAACAAGTCAGTTGAGAGGAAAAAACTAAAATAATGGGCTCCCAAACAGTTCCCAAGCTTCCTGTTGTAGACTTAACAAAGGAAGACTTGAAGCCAGGCACTAGTTCTTGGCTTGGGACATCCAATGAAGTTCTAAGGGCACTAGAAGAGTATGGTTGTTTTGTAGCAGTTTATGATAAACTTCCTTTGAAGCTTCACAACTCAATGTTGGAGTCATTGGAAGGGTTGTTTGATCTCCCAGCAGAAACCAAATTTCACAACACTGCCAATGAAGAAGGAATTACCTATTATGGGACTGCCAGTGAAGGTTTTCTCTTTGAGAATGCAACAACTCTTGAGGGCACACAAAGATTCACCAATGTCTTGTGGCCTTCCACTGGAAATGATACTTTCTGGTAATAACTTTATCTACTTACTATCATAGTTCTTTGGCTCCCCTGTTGTTTAGAAAGAAAAAAAAAAATGCAATTAACTCTATACTTTTGACATAATTATATAGATATCTTTTAAGATTTTAATTTACATAACAGTTGAGTCTTTTTTCATCAATAATTCGTTAGTCGTATAAATGAAAAAATTATGTTGTCATCTTTTATCTACTATAATATATATTTATCTTTATTTATTTTATTATTTATCTATTATTTGCATTAGTTTCAGTCGATTTAGCTTTATTAAAGGGGACGTTAGTGCAATTATATCAAAAGTGAGAGCTTAGCTATAATTTTTCTAAATTTGAAGGGAAATTAGTGTAATTTAACCTAGTTTTCTCCCTAAAATTGCAATCCCCATGGTTCTAATGCACTTCAAGTTGTATGATGTAACAACAAAGAAAAAAAAAGATGCTCACAATACAAAAATATTGAAACATCATCATACCTGAGGCTCCGAACGAATTAAGTCGAGTTGGGTAGTTAGTTATTTAAACTTGGCTTCAAAACATAACGGGTGTATTTGGTTCGTGTTTTGAAATAAATTTTAAAAAAAAAAAAATTAGGGAGAGAGTTCAGAATTTTTTTTAATTTGTTTAGTTGTATATTTTGAAAATAGTTTTGGAGTTTAAGAATTTGGGATGATTTGATATTTTGTTATACTTGAGTAGACGTGTGTGAGAGAAAAAGTAATTAAGAATGAGAGAGGAGAGAGAAAAAATGATTGATTGATGTGTAAGAGAGATAAACGGATTTTAAAAAAAAAAATTCAAAAATTTTGAACCAAACAAAATTTAGAATTTTTTTTTAAAAAAATTGTATCTTTAGATACAAACCAAACAAGCCCAACAAGTTTTAGGGGTTGTTTGGGGTGTCCTAAATAAGTGCACTTTTTGTCTTTTTGGACTAAAAAGTCGAGGAAAAAGTTGAGAAAAAAAATATAGATGTTTGGATTAACTTTTTGACTTTTTATGAAAAAATGTGTATTAAAAAATTGTATAAAGAAGTGTGTAGGAGAAGATAGTGTAATACGCCGTACAGATTGCAGTACAGTCGGCTTGGTGAATACATGAGAAAAGATTGCCTCCTTTTCGGGCTTTGATTGAACGGTGTTGTTGGGCCCGTGGGGGTCGTCACGGGTCCCGTTTTTCTAATCGGAACCGTTGTGTAGAACTCTTCGAGTACTATATGTTTGTAAAAAATCACGTTGATTGGATATCGATAGCTATCTGATCGTGTTAGTTTTTTTTTGTTAACTGTTAACTATAACACCATCCTATTTTATGCAAAACTGATTTGATCATGTAGTTAGCGATATCCTATAGACGTGATTTTTTGTAAGCATATAGTACTAGACGAGTTCTACATCTTCAACGGTTCGGATTATCAAAATGGGACCCATGGTGGGCCCCACGGGCTCAACTTTACCATCCAACTTAGTGAATGTACACATGTAATTTTTTTTTCCCCCTTTCACTGAAGCTAGCCTGAGGTCAGTACATTGATGGCCAAAAAGTTGATTTGTATTTAATATTTGTATATTAATTTTTTTGTATTTTTTTTGGTAAATAGTGATAACATTTTAACTTTTTTGGTAACTTTTAAATTTTTCTACACTTGTCAAACCAGCCCTTAAAATGTGTTCGACTTTTACACAGTGACCTAATCTTTAATAAGTTTTTAATGAGTAAGTTTAGTTAATGCATATAGGTTCATCAAGCCAGATACTGAGTCGTTTAAATTTGTTTTAAAAACTTAATAAATTTTAAAATATATTAAATTTTAGTTTATTTGCATAACCAATTCATTTTGAACGAATTTTCAACAAATCGAGAGTATTGAGAAAGCTAGGAGTGGGCCAAAGTTACGCTCCCCAAAAAAGAAAATTTCAAAAATTGTCTATTACGTCTCAATTATGAGTAAAGAATTCTTTTATTGGCGTTCATTATTCTTACAAGATATATAACATGACTCTTAATTTTTTCACATATTATGTAATAGGATCAAATATATTAATTTGATATATTATCTGTTATTTCTTTTTTACAAATTATATTAATCAATAAAATGCCTTCAAAATATATATATGTACACGCACACTAATATCCTAATTATATAATCCAAAATTTATGAAATTATTAAAATGAGTATTAATAAGAATTGACTCATAAATTTATTGATTTTTCTAGGTAATTTTTTCGCAACACCTATGTAACTAATTATCATTTTTGAAAAAATTCCAATTTCATTCCTGATCGAGAGCGCTTTGTAACGGAGTAGAAGAATTTTAAAAACAGAAGATTTCACGTTGTTATTCATATATATTTTCCGCTCATTCCTAGTAGATGCTTCATTTTTATTATTTCTTTTATTTATTTATTTGTTGTTTCTTAACCAGTGAAACTACACTCCTATTCTCAAAGAAATTAGAAGAACTAGTTGAAATGGTGATGAGAATGGTATTTGAAAGCTATGGTTTAGACAAGTACTACTATGAATCTCAAATTGCATCAAGCACTTATCATATGGCATTGGCAAAAATACAACCTCCAAAGATGAATGAGAAGAAGGGTATTGGATCTCATTCAGACAAGAGCATCCTATCCATTGTTGATCAAAATCATGTTACAAGTTTGGAGATACAAACAAAGGATGGCCGTTGGATTACTTTTGAGCCATCACCTTCACACTTGGTTGTTATGGCCGGCGAAGCTTTTATGGTATTTATATCTAATTCTTTCTCTACTCGGTAGTTCTACGTGCACAAAAATAAATCTTAGAACGTTTAAATGGTGTAGATTTCATAATATGTGAGTCCCGTAATGAGAATAAGTGTTTTGTAATTCGTTTCTGTGCAAATATATATATATATATTTCGTACTTGTTGGCACAAGATATTTGTCCTCAATTTTTATTTGAAATTAGTTACCCTCCAATCCATATGAAGAATGTTGTTTTGGCCCATGGGGCTAAACACATGTCCTATTTTCATAATTTGAACTGTTCATTTTAGAGAGTTTTTCGTGTTTATTTATAACAAAAAACAAATTAGGTTGATTCAATAATTATAACTTATTCAATTTATTATGTTTATAACAAACCAAAAAAAAAAAATGGATGTCAAATTTTAAAAAAACAATTGTTGTTTTTTTTTTCTTTTTTTTTTTAAAACACAAATGCTATAAATTGGATAGATTTCGATTTTTTACGTAGATGATATATATAAAAAAAATTTAAAAAATAAATAATTTAATTATCAAATTTTATATCTTTATGTTACCAATATACTCCGAACCACCCGACTTGAGTTATGATTGAAGTGCATTGGGAATATAAAAACTACAGAATAGAGGATTCCTAAACCTAGAGTGATACTGGAGATATTTTTAATCGGATTATCAAAACTGAGCCTCAAAGTGGACCCGAAGACCCCTACAAGAAGGGAATGAAGGAGGGGCCTCAAGGGGAGGATCCCAATTCCCCGAGTAAACCCTTAACCCATCAAAGCTATTGCTTTAGGCCACAAATGTTATTCAGGCCCCAAATTTTCAAAAATTACAGTTAAGACCTATATAATTTTATCATTCTTTATTTTAAAAAAAGCTCCAGCCATTATGAAAGAAGGCCTAAAATTGTTATTTCAAATGGGTAATATTATACAAATAAATATTTTTTTACTAGTTTCTTTACTAACCGAAATAAATATATAATATGAGTAATGATAAATAAACTAGCAAATTTTATAAAGTTTCTTACTCTTTGATGTGATATCATTCTTATAAATGGATGAGAAATTTGATAATGAGACTACATTTTCTGAAGAATTTTTAGAATTAATTGAAGTATTAAACTATGTAACAAAACTTCATATGAAGATTTAATTGGTAATTTCGTATATCAAAATCTTAGAAAAATAATTTTTAAATAATATTTTTATATAACATTAAAAAAAAAATGTAAAAGGCCTCATCTTAATTTGTTGCTTTACGTCTCAATTTGTCTTGAGTCGACCCTACTTTTAAATCCATAAATTTATCCATAATAATGTAATAAAGAAGTTGGATCCTATATCATTTGATATGTAACAAATTAAAATTTTACATCTATCGTAACTTATCATTGTTGGTCAAATTGTGAGAGCTTTTTAAAAATCTCAAATATTTTTGTTAATTTTTACCTTTGATAAAGATTAACTTCTTAATCTCTTAATTAGAAGTGTATAATACAAGAATTGTCAACTAAACTAAATCGATAAATTAATTTTGGATGAACTATAACACATAATAAGTGGAGGAAAATTACCTCCCCCCACCCCAAAAAAAAAAAAAAAAAAAAAAAAAAAAAAAAAAAAAAAAAGATTTAAAACTTTACAAATAAAACTTTGATAAGGTGACTATTTTGAGGGTACTTTCCGACTTGGTTCCTCCAATCCCTCAAACTGTAAGATAATAAGTCCAAGAATAGATCATTTAGATTTGATTGGATGCATTTTATTGTACCTAATTCCTTTGTCATAGTACACTGTTAATTTTGTATTGTACTCTGATTAACACCTGACTTCTTCTGAAGTTTATAGCTGAGTTTCATTGGTGCCTTAATGGTAGGTCTCTTCTTATAAGTTAGGTTAAATTAGGTCGATAACCGGTTATCCCGAGACCTAAGCCCATAAATGCAGTGATGACACCTCAGAACATCATTTTTTCTCGTTTCAAAAAAAAAAAAATACACTGTTAATTTTTTCTTAAAATTTTTTTTAGAAATGATACGGTAACCTTAGTTTGTTTTCAGATAAAATGCTTTAAAAAAACAAAAACTTAGTAAATATTTTAAATTATTTTCTTAATTATCAAACACTATTTTCACTCAAAAATAAAAACTACAAAATGTTTCTGAAATTTTCGTTGTCTTTGTTCCAAAACACGAATTCACTCACTATCGGTAGTTTTCTTCTAAATTAACTTTCCTATGGAATATTTATTGCATTATCGCGATTTTTATTTTTTGTTACACTTTCAAATTTGATATTTTAATATTTTGCTTCTTTGTTTTTTTTGTTTTTTTGTTTTTGGGTGGCGAAGGCATGGAGCAATGGCAGGATACATTGTCCATCTCATGTTCATGGTATCATCACCACCACGCCACCCCAAGAGAATGGGAAAGAAGAAGTAAACTACTCTGCGGCGCTTCTCTCGTACATGAAAGGCATGGTGCAGCCACCAGACAAGCTTGTTGATGACGAACATCCCTTGTTGTTCAAGCCCTTTTCCAACCTTGGATTTCTTAAATATTGGATTCAAGAGGTGGCAAAGAACCCTAAGTGTTCTCTCACAGATTATTGTGGTGTTTAATAATTAATACCTCCTTTAATCTCTAGGAAACTGTCTACTCATCTACTCTAATATTTCATATATATTTTCTTTAATTATGAGTATGGTCCTGAATCTTTTGGGCCTTTAAGTGAACTCTTATTTTGAGACCATCTACATATGTTTACACACAATAAATAATAAAAAAATTGTGGCTAAATGGTAAGTATGTGATTTTTTTTTTCTCCTTTTTTTGTATGAGAGAAAATATTATTTTACATCCTATATTATTACTCAAAAATCAATAAAACTCATGTTCTTTTAATAATATCAATTTTATAGTTAAACTATTTAATTTTGTATCAATTTTACACTCACTGTCAGTTGCCATCACTAATTAATACAAGTTGTTAATATGGCACCCAAACTTTATTTGAAATTTCATTTACCCCAAAACTATTCCCAACATATCAATTTGATTCCTGAATAAAATGAAATTTTGTGATATGATTGATATTGTAGAGATAATTTGAAAGGTAAAATGAAATTTCACTACTACATTAGTAACTTTTGTTTGATTATAAATGGCAGCTAACAATAGGGGTAAAACTGATGAAATCAAATAGTTTAGGTGTAAAATTGATATTATTAAAAGAAATGGAATTGAATTGATTTTTAAGTGATAATTTGAGAGATAAAATAATATTTCCTCTTAGTATCAAAATATATAAAGTGTATTTGTTATCATTTTCTTCTATACTTGATAGTTATTTAACCTTTAGATAAATTTACCTATTTTTTGCATTAATTTTGATTATTTTAATTTTATTAAAAGAGATATTGATATAATTATGTCAAAATTGTTAACTTATTATATCTTTTTAAACCTCAAGGGTGGTCAATATTGATATAATTATGTCAAAATTGTTAACTTATTATATCTTTTTGGTGGTCAATGTAACTTACCCCCCAAAAAATAGGAGAATTAATCCAATCAAAAGGATTTTAGCAATTTGTATTTCAAAAAGCAAGAAAAAATATATATATAAGTTATAATTAATATTTAGGGTAAATTATAAACACACTTCCTGAGATTTATTTAAATTACAAATTACTCTATGTGGTTTTAGAAATTACATTATGCCCCTTAGGGTTTCTAATTTCATAACAAACAAGTCCTTTTATTAATAAATTATCAAGTTAATTAACAGTTTTTAACAATGTTAAAATTTTATTTTTATTAATAATTCAAGTAATTTTATTATTACATAGAATAATAGTTAGAATTTTATTTTTTCAATTAATTATGTTAAATAAAAAATTCTGACAGAAAAGTATTTGTAATTTTTCAAACAACAAGAAATAATTTATATTTTAAACAAATCTCAAAAATGTATTTATAATTTATCCTAATATTTAATATCAAAAACTTTAAAATTTAGTTTTTTTTTATTTTTTTTTATTTTTTAAATTTTTGAAAGAGTGGGCTTAAAATTCGGCTTTAGGCGTTGATTTTTTTTTATTTTTTTTTATTTTTTAAATTTTTGAAAGAGTGGGCTTAAAATTTGGCTTTAGGCGTTGAAAAAGGGGAGGGCCGCCACTATTTCTACCCGCGGATGCTCTTCGTTTTTGAATGTTCCATCATGATGATTAAAACATTTTTCTTTAATAATACTGTAATTCTAAAAAACTTAACCCCAAATTTATTTAGAAATATTAATATGTGATTGAGATTTGTTTTATACGTAAATTTACACCATATTAATTTAATTTTCACCACACAAACACTCCATTTAAAAAAATTTTGAATTTTTGTGTCTGTCGCAATAGCTCTTTCGTTTTTTCTTTTTTCTTAGAAGTTTGACTAGGGACTCATCCTTTTCTATCACATATTTTACAGTCTATTTACAGTGGGAGTGAACCCACCAAAAATATTTCATAATTTCCGGATAATTGTAAAGTGAAAACATTAAAAAAAAATTTAAAAAAAAAAAACAAAAACAGCAGCTCTGGAAACGTAGGAGGCGATGCCTTGCCCGGCTTCATCTTCTTTACTTGGCTCCCTATTTGGTAGATTATTGGACTTATTTTTTAACTTAGGCCAAGTTTGGGAAGACTAAAAAAAGTATACTTTTTGTCTTTTTGGATTAAAAAATTGAGGTTAAAAATATGGATGTTTGGGTTAACTTTTTGACTTTTTATTGAAAAATGTGTAATAAAAAAGTGTAAAAATTGATTTGTAGGAAAAAATTTGAATTGAGAGTTGTGCAGCCGTAATTGTTCCGTAATTGTTGACTTTTGCTGAATAGTGTTAACTTTTTAACTTTTTGAGTAACTTTTTGACTTTTTAGCTTTTTTGAATCTTCCCAAACTTGTCCTTAATTTTAATAATTTAAATCGTTCATATTTTAAAATTTATCAAATATATCATACTTATAAAAAATTAAATTGATTAAATATCAAAAATCACGTGTTCAGATCATTGATGGGAGGCAAACAAGACGGCCGGCCGCGTTAGTCTCCAATTCTATCTAAAAAGTAAAGCCTTTAAGTAATTTTAGTTATTATGTTTATTAAAATAAATATAATAAAATAATTATTTTATTATAACGTCTATCTCTAGAGAAACATTATGGTGCACACTCTATAAAGGATGTACACTATATGCACTTTATAATTTTTTTTAAAAAAATAGTATAATTTTAATTTTTTGAGTCATAATTTAAAAAAAAAATGTTATAACTAAACACAACATGAGACAACTAAAGAACACATGGGTTATAACTAAAATAATATTAAAACTAAAGAAGAAAATTAGTAATAACTAAAGAATGACATAATAAGAGTATTAGAATTTCCCCTATCTTTATATTTGATTCACCAAAAAAATAATAAAAAATATGTTACAAATGAAATTATCATTCATTATTGTTTGCAAATAATCATTCTATAGAGAGCTTTTAAGGAATGAATGATCATTTCATCCTATTCAATTTTGAGATGGCAATTTATGTCAGTCGTTTTTACCAAACTAAGACCATTCATCTTAGACATTGGGCCGAACTACGGGCCGAAGTAATTATTTATGTAACACGGTCCTGATCATCTAAGCATCAGGCCAGTTAGAGGTAGGCTACCAGTGGCCTGACCTGGCTATCCTGGACTGAGGTATCAGTGAAAGGAGGACCAAGCTAAATGATAGCTCTACAGAGCGTCATCTCAAAGTCAAGACTGACAGTGTTGCCTAAAGTAGCACCAAGCTGTGTAAGCATGGTTAAGTCTGATGCTAGCCGAGGTAAGAGTTGCAACCATCTCACTTAGTTAATAGTAAGTGAATGTTATCAGGATAGGCATTATCCTGTGGGTGTGATTCCTAGGAGGACTCTGGTAAGAAGAGTTGGAGTCCTACTAGGATTGTGCCAAGCAGGATATATAAAAGCTCATGACAAGATCTATATACAGGTATCACAATTCTGATTCTCAAATACACAGCTTTTGTGTTTATTGTTTATTTTGCTGACTTAGGCATCAGAGAGGTTTCCGGCATACCCCCGCCAACCAGCTCACATTTGTGTTTGCAGGGAGTAAAACGACTGTGTTTGGAGGAGTGCAAACTTGATCCATAAGATTATACGATGTGCTCGTACAAATTTCATTCTAATGAACTAAACACTATATTATAATGGGTGATTCTATTTGTACCCAACTGGTAATTAAGTATGCTTAACTGAAATTTTGAAGTTTTAGTTTCTATTATACTCTAATGTAAATTTACTAATAGAAAGAATACATATTAAATCTTAAAATAAAATATTATTTTTTTCTCATGATACACCCTAATCACTTATACGTATTCACATTCAGTAAACTCAGTACACTAAACTAAAAATTTGTTTGACGTTTTAGTTATACCCTATTATAAATTTACTAATAGAGACAACACATATTAAATTCTAAAATAAAAAATAATTTTTTTTCATGATACATCCTAGTCACTTGTACGTATTCATATTCAAGTCTTTCATCTTCTTCTCCATATTTCAATTATTTTCTTTCTATCTTCTTTCTCACTCCGAAACTCCGATCTATCCTATCAAAACTCCCATTATCATCAACATCATTGTTTCTTATTATGTTAGTAATTACAGATAGAAAAAAGTTTGAACAAAATCAAATATCAAAAAGGAAATAAGTATTCACGTGAATATCAAAATTCAATTCGTAATGTCAGACTTTCAAAGCCAAACAAATTGCTCATATTCTCCTGGGCCGTAGTAGTGAAGCGGTTCAACGACCTCACCGCCTCCATGAATGGCTTGCTTCATTGCTCACTGTTTTGTGAATGCATTGGAAATTAATTAATTGAGGAGTTTGGATTCATGATGTATGTGTGTGTTAATTTTCGACCACACTGCCAACTCAGTATTTAGCTAGAGAGCACTGGCAGAATAGATGGCACCTGTCTGACCTGCAACAGAAAGAGAAGACTCCGGCGGTGGTTCGTCCACCCGAGGGCACTCCGACGATCAAATCAGTAAAATATCTCTCAAAGATAACCAATAGTGCTAAAATCACTGTTCAAAATATAAATTGCATATCTTAGACCCATCGGGGGTGTCTTTCTTTTATAGTTAACTTCATCCTAGTCCCCATAGAAGCCTAGCTTCAATGGACTTCTGCTCAGTGCTTATCCTAGACTCTTCAAGAGATAAAGATAAACTCCCTAAGAGCTTTATCTTTATCTAGTGTGAGTCCCCTCATCATTCTAGGACTCTTGTGCCTTATCCGCTTATCTTGGATTCCGATATCTTCGAAGATAACCCCGGCCTTGCCGAGATAACCTCGGCGTCTCGACCAGGACACGTGGCACCTCAGCTTACACATCGGCGTCACTTTGGCCACGTGTTGGGACTCAGAAAATATATCCCCACAACTGCCCCCTAGGTTCTATTACCTTGACATTCTGAGGTGATGGAACCTATACCAAAACTTCCTGCCAATACATCGGTTAAAGTCTCTCAGCCGAGATCATCATATAGGCCGACATGTCTTTTAAAGAACAAGAATTCCATTGAACTCCTTCACGCGTATGAGCTGTCATGCATCACAATTCAACCGTTTCAACCATGTGTCCTTCTCTTACTGGATCGTACTAGATACGCGCCTGTAAATCAAATCATTCTCGCGTATGCGTGCCCCGTCTGATGCACACGTTGTTTTAGGCAC